TTGAAAACTATGGCTTCAAGTGTCCTGGGGCATGAGGAGGTTGATGTGCAAAGCTGCAAGCAGGCCATGGTGAGGGATGGAAGCCAGAGGCTTCCTGAGTCCGGACAGATGTCCCGTGCAATACTTTGTAATCCTACAGAGAGGAGACACAATGACCCAGCAGAGTGCTTGTCATTATACATATTTATTTTTCCCTTTTTGCTGTTTACAATATTTTATTTCAGTATATTTTTCAGAAGCATAATTTTATCTTTATGTTTTATTTTTTTGAAGTCCGCACTGGTCAAGGTCTTTTTCATGCAAAAATGTACATTTAATGAGGGCAAAGAAGGTGCCCAGTCATCTCTTGAGGCTCTGGTACTTTGTGCCCCCTTTTTGGGTCAGGCCATCCAGGGCAGCTGGGTCTTGGTCCTCCTCTTCTTTTCTTGGTTTTCACTTGCCTGGGCCCAGTGCCACTTCTGAAGACCCGTGTGTGTGTGTGTGTGTGTGTGTGTGTGTGTGTGATTTTACTGTACTTCATCTGCTTTCAGAGTGTCACTGACTTGGCTGTGCTCTGAAGAATCTTCTGGCACTGCCTGATATCAGGCATCATGGCCAGCTGTGCTAAACTCAGGCACCTTGAACTCTGCTGATGACTACTGACCCTGGGGACGCAGTCCGGCAAGATGGTGGGCACAAAGTCTCATGCAAATGGAGTCAATAGAAGTGACCCTGAGCAGCTGGGGCTATTTCATAATTTAAGTATATCAGAGAGATACATTAACACTCTTCCCTCTCCCTCCCCTGAAAACCCAATACTGATAATATAGATTTCATATTGATCACAGGACACTATACAACAGACATGAACATACTGCACTTTTTGTAAGACAAGTCATGATTTCCTTTGAAGTTTGGCTATAAAATAGCTAGAAAGTTACTGCTCATCACCACAGCAGGGTACCATGCAGGTGGATAGCTAAGTGAATGTATTCATTAGTTAATAGCTCAAAGGGTTAGTTCTTGTATATACAGAATAATGAACCCTCATTAGGAACGGCCACAGTCTCGGCAAAACTCAGCTCTAAATGTGCAAAGACTTTGTAGCTGCTATTAACAAGATGACATGAATTGTAAGAATACATTTGACAAGCTCCATTAAAGATCGTCCGTGACCTGCAAAGGCACCCCACGGTGGCACATGGAAAGGGCAAGAACTTGGTAGGAAACGTGTCACCTATTCCCACAACAATCGACACTTTGGAGAGACAGACGGGGGTGTCCTTCCTGTGGTAGTGGTACAGAAGGGATTCTAGGGATTCTAGGGGGATGGGTGGGAAAGTGGGTAGAGGAGCAAAGTGGGGGTTGCTTCATCCCAGATGCTGCCGAAGCTCCAAATTACCAAGCACTCTTTGACTGGTTGGGGCTGAGAAAGACTCTGGCTGCACCCCAGCAGCACCCAGTTGGACACTGCACTTCCAGAGTTATTTGGTGTGAGGAAAGGAGAGGGAGGGGATGGAGGCAGTCAGCTGGAGGTGGGGGCTTGCATGGCTGGGGAGGGGCTGGGGACAGCTGGGGATGAGGCTCAATGACACAGACAACAGACCACATACAGGACTTGACAAAGGGGAGATCTGGCAATTTTCAGGCTCAAACGAACAAATCCATAGCAAACTCAGAAGGTTTAAGTTCCTGAAAAGGTGTCATTGCCAAACCTCCACCTCACATTGACACTTAACCTACAGAGTATGAGTCGCAGTAGAGTTCAACTGCTCTCGTTGCAGCACATTAGGGCAAGATATTCTTTGTAAGGTATAATATTATATCTAGCTATGTGGATTTATAGAGATATTTACAACTGGCCTCTCTGCCCTTCCTCTGTGCTGTGAAGCCTTCATGTGCATTGCTGCCAGACACATCTTAAAACCCTCTTTTTGTTCCTACCGCTCCAATCTCCTTTTATGACTGCATCTCAAATCAACTGCTCGCCCCCCACAGGGCTCAAAACCCACCAGGGTCTTGGAGACCCAAATCCAAGTCAACCAAGCAGTGCTTAGGCTCCAGGAAGCCAGCCTTTCTACAGCCATGTGGGGAGCTTCAGACATGAGGCTACTGCTCCCCTCTCAACCTGGATCTCTCTGTGGGGTGTCCAAAAATAAAGAGAAAATCTTAGTCTGGTGGCAACTTTCTTGTTTGTAACTGTCCTACAAGATTTGTGTGTGTGTGTGTGTGTGTGTGGGGAGGCTGTGTGCGCGTGCGCGTGCATGTGATTAAGTGTGCCCATATGTGAGTGTGTGCATGTCTGGGTGTGTATAGGTATATACTGATAAAGGTGAGTGCCCCCTGCGTGTGTCTGCACACGTGGGTGATGGTGTGTGTCTGTGTGGGTGTGTAAGTGTGAGAGGCTCTATGCTTGTGTAGAAGGGAGGAAGAGACAACAAGCCGGGTCCACTGAGGCAGGCAGTCCTTAGGGCACCTTTGCACTTCCCTCTCTCCCCTCTGACTATTGCTTTCCCTGGAAGGGTGGAAGTGGAGAGTTCTAGACTCTAAGTCCAATGTGGAACTTGGGGCCTGTTGCTGGAGTCCAGCAGCCAACAGCCATCCCAGGATAGGCTACTAAAGTGTTTCCTGTGCCCGAATGGGCCACCACCACAGTCCATGCCTGCAGCCATTCCAGGCAATGCCCTGGGGGCTTCTTTACATCACCTGCCTGCCTGTGTCTACCACGAGCTGCCACATGTGTCAGGCTTACAAGGCAATTGGAATAAAGGTTATAGACAACACCCTGTACAGTTTGCTGGCCTTCCCCACCCCATTGTTTGCAGCATGCTTCTGTTCTCACTGTATCCTTCAGGCCCTCCCTGCAGCCTGTTACTCCCAAACATGTCCTCCCAGAACAAGGCAAAATGCTCTGCACTTGTAGCTGATCCCAAGGACTGAGCATTTCACACCTCAAGGCACTAAATTACCACTCCTTAGGACTACATTCATTTCCTCTGGCTCTTCTGTCCAGGAGACAGCACAGATAGGTGAAGGGAGGGGATGAGGAGTGGATGAGGACCAGGAGACACCACTCCCTGGAATAGGGAATTGGAAAGAAACAGTCAGTTAACCAGTGCAGTCAAAGGGCATCCCCCATGTGGGAATAGGCCAAAGGAATTCTGGTGCTTCTAGAAGGGCCGCCAACAGGGAATATATATGTTGTTAGGTATATTTTGCTTCACACTCATTCAAACCAGATAAACACAGATGTGCAGACATGCACTTATACACACACACTCAGCATACACCCATATGTATACACACAAGCACACACATACATAAGCCACACTTTCATGGGGATGCATCCACATCCACACATCCACACGTTGTTGTACATACACCTCTATGCATACCAATATAGATTTACACGGATAGGCACAGCAGTATACAGCTTCTCAAATGGTTGTAAGTGCACATAGACCTACCCTGATGCATATGAACCCATCCAGGTATACAAGGAAACACAAACACAGAAGCATACTTAAAGGTAGGTGGGTAGAGGGGTGAGGGGTTGCAGGAGAGGCTTCAGAAGGAGAAAGGGGGGTACAGGTTGAGTGCTTGGTGAAGCTAACTCCCTCACGGCCTCCATCAATGAGGTGGAGCTGCATGGCAAGTTGGAGTGCAGGCCAATCCTACTTCCGTTAGGGGCCCTGCTGGGTGGACAGTGCCCATGTTCTCCATCTGCTCGCTTCACACTCATTGGCTGGTCACCAGCCAGTTCCTGCAGAGACACTGCAGGTACTATAGAGTAAGGTTGGGGGCCTGATAGGGAGGCAGACTCTGCCAGAGTACCCCCTTTTGCAAAGGGGAGAAAAGAAAGGGGAATGCTTTGGTTTAGAGAGTTGGGAGGACAAGGAGAAGGAAGAGTAAGTGGGGTGGCTCTACCACTCACTCTCTGCACGCTCTCAAGCACGATACATAAGCTCCATTTGTTTTCCTTGCAACACTGGGAACAACGTGCTTTGCCTTTCCTGGCTCGCGGGGCTCCTGTGAGGGTTCAGTGATATGTTGGGTCAGTGAGCTTGTTGACACTATGCACTAGACAAATAGAAAGGATTAGTATATAGATTTACAGTAGATGTGCGTCTGCTAGTCTAGGTCAGACAGTGAAATCTCAAATCTGAACTTTCCTAACCCTGGTGCTTATTCACCAAGTGCTTACTCTGTGATTAGTGATCAACTCAGCATCTGATAGCAAGCGAACTCCTGACTTAGACAGATGTATTAAGTCTCTAGTGTCAGGCATTCTGAAGCAGAAATATAGGCAAGAGAAGTTCCAGTTCCTCCAAAGAGGCCAGCTCAACTGTGTCATCTCCAACTTGGCCTTGCCCCCGCCCCACTGCAAGCTCCTGTTGGGTGTGTGCTCTGTCACTTACCCTGACATCTCGCTCTGCAGCCTCGCCCACCTACATTCCCCTCCCAACCCTGTACCACCATGCCACATTCTAAATATGACAAAAATAGTGGGAAAAGGCACTTACAAATGTTCCCCGAGTTTCCCATGGCCAGTTCCCTGAACTTCCAAGCCATGGCTAGCCCTTCCCCTGTGCACCCCAGCCCAACCCAGCTTGACTTTTTCCTATAAAGCCCTAAGCAGAGGGTGAGCAAGGTCTGTAATCCCTAGGAGGAAAAAAAAAAAAAGAAGAAAAAAGTCATGAAAAAGAAATTTTGATACCTCAGGGGGACAGAAAAGCCCCCAGAAATGTTTGTGATCAAGGTTTAGATCCTTCCCCTGGCTCCCCCCGTCCTCCAAACATTTCCAGGGGCTTTTCCACGCTTACTAGCTGTGAGAAGTCTTTGAAAAGGTGAGCGCCTTCTAGCAGGAAAGGACATCAATGTGCTCTTTACCTCCAACTCCTCTTCAGTCCCTTCCTTTCCAGCCAGAATACACGCTTTCCAATCACTCTCCACCTCATGTTTATAAAGAGAAGTGTTGAACTGATTAGATTGCCCAAAAAAGCCACAAAATAAAATGAATGAAGGAGAGAGGGAAAAATAAAACCAAAAGAAACTATAAAGGAGCAGAGCACAGTGTCCCTGCTGTTCTGGGGCCACTGGTGGACTAATAGATATGATACACCCAGTAGGCAATGTTGAACAACCCAAAGGCGAGAGGGAAGAGGAACCGGGACCATTTGTCAACCTTAGGGACGTAGTCAGGGTTAAAGAGATCGAAGGAGAACTCTTCAGCGAAGGCGCACCCAGGGCTTGGGGGGGCACTGTCCTCAGACTCTGAGCTACTGTCCTTCTCTGGGCCACTGGCCACGAGCTCATCATCATCCAGGCTCCAGATACTATCAGCATCACACTTGAGTTGCTCCTCAAGGCCAAGGCAGCTGCTCTCAACATTGACGTCATCATGTAAACTATGGATCTCATCAAGCTCACGGTTTGCTTCTTGCACACACCCCTGGCCACGGTGAAGCATGGGCCACCCACTGGGGCCACGGCCCTGGCTCTCATCTGAGCTCAAGCTCCCATCAGAGTCTTCGGAGTCACGGGTCTCAGCACGGCCATGGGCCTCAGCACGGTTGCGGATTTCGGTAGGAATAACACTGTCGTCATTCTGGAAACCATTTAAGCGAACACCATAGCTGAGGAAGGCCCTCTCTGAGGTGGAGGGGAGATCGCTCAGGCTTTCTGCAGTGGCCAGCTGGGCCTGGCCTAAGAGAGAAGTGAGTGGGCTGAGGCTTTCCGAGGTGGCCAGCTGGGCCTGCCCGGAGATGGACATCAAAGAACCGAGGCTTTCCGGGCTTTCCAGGGGGGCCTGCGCTGGGGTGGTGGAAAGAGAGCTGACTCCGTCTTCCACGATAATCAGGCCATCCTTTGAGGAGATAATGGATAGGCTCATCAGTTTCATGTGGCCTAGGTGGCTATGCACTGGGGGAGGGAGGAGGGAAGGGGCTTTCCTCATCAGCACTTGCATTGTTACTGTCGATCTCTTTGACAGACAGCCATCTCCTTTTGGGGTCTCTGGTGTTCAGGGGGCTGAGGAACAGGACCAAGAGGCTGTCAGCATGCAAGGGAAGGCCATGGCGGCTGCCAAGCCGATGTCTCCCTGGGGGCAGCTGCTCCCTCGGGAGCGCTGTGTGGTGGATGGAGGCCTGCTCAGGCAGGCAGGGCTGGGCTCTCTGCAAAGGAGGAGGGATGTTGTTGGACATTAACGTACTGCCCACAGCAAAAGCCTCAGCACTGTCTTGGGAGTCTGAAGTGCCAAAGAAGGAGGGGTAGGCAGGCCAGCCTCTCCGGTGTCTGTCTTCCTTTCGGCCTCCCTGTGCCCATCTTCCCTTCCAGCTTCATTGCCTGCCCTGGACGCATGCAAAGTGGACCGGATTTGGTCCAAAGGTCTGGAGAAATTTAGCCTTGCCATTTACTTGCTTTGTGACCTTGGACAATGATCATCTATAAAGGAGTGATGATAAACAGTCCTACTTCCTTGTTACTTGTTCATGTGTGTGTGTGTGCATGTGGTGTGTGTGTGTGTGTGTGTGTGTGTGTATGTGTGTGTGTGAGGATTAAAGGAACTAAGAAATGCGAAAGGGTCAAAAGCGCTAAGCCGGGGCTCGAGAGGTGCTCAGGGAAAGCTGATTGTCAGTCAAAAAGTCAAACCTGCACGTTTCCCACCACCACTTCCTGGTACCGGTAGTGGGCAATGACTCTTCGTGGCCTTCTGCGTCGCCTATGATGGCGCTGAGGTCCCCGGCTGTAGAAAAGATAGTTGATGTAGACATACTCCAGCAGAGACAGGAACACGAAGAACAAGCACACGAGGATATAGATGTCGATGGCCTTGATATAGGAAATGTGGGGGAGTTTATCCCGCAGATGAGAGTCAATGGTGGTCAGGATGAGCATCGAAGTTAGACCTACAAACAGAACAGCACAGACTTAGTCTCCTCTGGTGGCTGAGCTTCCTGGCAAGCCATTGGGCCCCTGGCCATCTCTGGGGTGAGGAGGGCCCTCAGCAAAAGCCTCCACCTCTCTGGGCCGGGGGGTGCCTTTGCAAAGTGCTCGCTTTGTTCCTTCTTCCCCATCTTAGGCCCAGCCTAGGCTTCAGTGGTTCATGACTTCCCATTACTCTTACGGTCAAGTTCCAAACCCCCAGCCACGGCTTCTCAGCGATTAACACCTTTAGTCCCTCCCACCTTGCCCTGTGATGGCCCCTTCCCCTTTCGTCTTCCTTTAGTCCCTGGGAAAATTTTGTGAACCATAAAATATTACACAAATTCAAAGGTTTAGTCCAGAATGATCTCCTGAAGAAGGAGGCTGAGGAGTCTGCCCCAAAGATGGTGAAAGAGAAACGAGACCTGGATCTGGGGCACATTAGAGGATCCTTCAGGGCGGCTCCTCTTGAAGCCCTGCTGCCTGGTAAGGCATTCTGATACCTTGATTAAATCAATGTTTATTGTATTGTATTTCTGATCTAAATTTGTGACTTGTCCATTTACTTATGGACTCAACAAATAATGAATTCTGGTACTTTGGGCACAACATACCAAGATTCCAACTCTAATGTGTTTTTCACACCTGTCTCCAATGTCAGTCTCTCCACTGGGGACTGGCTGAGCACCTACACAGATGCCTGTTGGAAAAGCCCTTGCTTCCTTGTGTGTGCAGTCACACACTGTGCCAGGTACTACTTCCTTCCTCTCGACTTTTTTTTCAGAGGAAGACAACCTACATTCCTCCCTGGGATGGAGACAGGACCTACCAATTGTCACCCTTGCTGCAGAGGAATCATAGTTCATCCAAAACGATATCCAGGAGAGAATAGTGGTGAGGACAGTAGGCCAATAGACCTGCACAAGGTAGCTGTTGACTTCCCTCTGGACCTGGAACTTGAGTATCAGGCGCATGTAGGAACCTGGCAAGGAGACACACTGATGCCAGGGTGGCAGGGCTCAGGGGATTTGCAGGGTGGAGAGGCACACATTGGATGGGGGATGACCAATGGGCAGTTCAGCCTCCAATTCTCCATCCACAGGCATCCAGCCTGAGAAGGCCAGTGAGAATGGCACATCTCAGCAAGCCCATGTGGCATAGCAAGTTTTCTCTCTCCCCGTTCCTTTCTCACTTGCTCAATGTTAGCTGAAATTTGGGAATGGGAGAGACAAGAGATGGCTCCAAGCTGTAAATAGATGGAGGGTGAGAAGCCAGCCATGAGGGGAGCACGAATCCTTTATACCTGCAGAATGTGGTCAACCGGGCCAAGTGCTTCCACACCCATTTCTCACTTGCAGAGGGCGGGCTGTTGGGGCTTTATTAAGGGGGCCTGGAAGGTGTGCAGAACCAGTGGGAAATAGGAAGGGAGGCAGCAAAGAGTGTAGGGGTCAAAGGCAGAGGCCACTGGGAGTTTATGGGAGTGCAAAGGGGACAAGAGACAGGAGAGAAGGAAGGGGTGGGACCCACCTGTGTAGAAATACACCTCCTTGCTAGTAATCGTCCTCCCCAGGAAAGCGAACTGAGGGATATGCAGCTTCCCAGTCATGTGGATGGCACTCCCATTGTCTTCCCAGAATAACATGATGTCTTCAACCGTGTATCCATCTGCGAAGGGGAGAGAAACAGAAAGTCTCAGAAAATGGGCACAGGCAGATTTCACACCAGAGCAGTGTGAAAACCAAAGGATGGTTGGAACTTGCCGTTTTGGGGGCTCCTTTATGCTTTGCTGAATCTGAGCACTGGGGAAAGAGAACCCTCACTTTGGAGTTTCTTAGACAGAAAGGAAAGCACAGCAATGACACTCTACAAGCGCCTACCCACCAGCTTGTGCACAATTTCCCAATAGTAGGTGCCACTTCCCAAGGGGACAACTTATACCCTAAATGCCATCTGCTCCCAGATGCCATATATACACCTCTATCAGTCAGCCAATCAATCACCCATCATCAGGTATCTACCATCTGTCTTTCTTTATTTCTATCACCCATGTATGTAGGACAGAGAGAGTGGGGAGGAGGAGGGTGTGTAGAGATGTGCTGTCCCTCTCACTGTTAATTCTGCCTTTGGTTTCCCGATTGCCACAGCCCCAGGTAGGAAGAGGGGCCATAGGAGGTGAACGTACAGCTTTCCACCTCCAGCTTGCAGGCCTGCTTGTCCAGAGGGAATTTATGCAGATCCAGGGAACAAGCTGCTGTGGTGGTGAGTCTGTAAAGGACAACAAAAAGGAAGGAAAAAGTGAACCCAGCCTAGGCAAGCAACCACTCGTGAAAGAACTGCAGGGCTGCGGAGGGAAGCGTGACCCGAGGACCGACCCATGTGTAGGGAGGAGACAGGGCATTTGTATGTGACAAAGACACCAAGAGACCCGGCAGGACTTAAACAAGGAACAGATGTATGGCACGTCAGAAAACCACAGAGTGTCAGCATGGGAAAGGCCCTTGAGAGAACTGAATGCGGAGATGGGAAGAGACTCGCCTTCCTAAAGAAGCAGGTGAGGGCATGTGAGTTAGGAATCGAAGGTAGAGTGGGCAAGATTTCAACTCACGGAAAGGAGGGAAGGGTCACTCCAGACAGAAGGAACAGCAGAAGTCAAGGTGCTTATGGGAATCTCTGAAAGTTCCACTTTGGCTACTGGGTAGGATGAGTGAGGGGGGCCAATGCAAGACAGGTTTGTGTGGCCCTTAGAATGTGTTTGTGGGATATTCAGTAGGAAGAAGGAAGCCTGGTGGGACATCCCCAGGACCCTAGGGGGACTCACCGGATGCCATACCGCACTGTTCCATCGGGGTGAAGCTGAAACACGCGATTTTCCACAGTCACATCATGCACGTAAGCATCCTTGCCGTTCACAAAGTAGCAGTCAGGGACCCACAACTTCTCATGCATCCGATAGTCCAGGGTCAGGTTCAGGTTGGTCTCATAGTATGCTAAGCGTGAATCTTTCCAGGTCTGATGAAAAAACATGGTGATTGTATAGTCCTGGGGAGAGAAAGGTAAATCCCAGATGTAATTTAGGTTGTTCCAACTCTGTCCTCTTTGTGTATGTGTGTGTGTGTGCACACACACCTGTGTGTGCAAGTGTATTGAAATATATCATGACTATGGACGACTGCATGAAACATCCATGTTTAAAAAAAGAATAATAAAATGACCCTTGTGTAATTAAAATCCAGGTTAAGAAACAGAGCATTACCAATAACTTTCAAACTCCAAAGTGTCCCTTCTAGAACACATTTCCCACACACCCCAGCAGTAACCATTATCCTAGATTTTATGATTAATACTTTCCTTACTTTTTTGTTAGAGTTTCACCGTCTATGTATTCCTAGAAAACATATTGCTTAGACTTTTAAAAAAAATTTTTATCCAAATGGAATCATACTGCATGTATTCATGATCTGCTTCTTTCACGCAACATTTTATTTGTGAGATTCATTCAGGTTGGCACATGTAATTATAATTTGTTCACTTGCATTTCTGGATAACAGATGAATATGCTATGCATGTTATTGGGTGAACACACTATACATACCCAAACCATGACAAAATAAAAATGATGAAGTGGAAGTTACAGTTTACGCCCCTGCCAAGAGCCAAGAGTCAAGAGTGGCTGAGGGTTCCCAATGCTTCCAACTCACCAACACGGATTGGTACTGTCTGACTTTTGACTTTTGCCAATCTGGTGAGTATGTGATGGGTTCTCATTGTGATTTTACTTTGCATTACTAACAAGGTCGAGCATCTTTTCATATGTTTCTTATGTTTATCTGCTATTTAGTTTTCTTCACAAAAGTGAAATTCCTGTTTACATTTTTCGATCATTTTTCTGTTTCTAAAATATTCTTCATATTAATTCACAGAAATTATGTATATTTTGAATATCAGTCCTCCACACTGCAAATATCTCAATCTATTCTGACTTATCCCTGCACACTTGTCATAGTGGTTTTGTTTGTTTTGCAAAATAGAAGTTCCAGGAGTTTTGGCTAAACAGAATTTTAATATAGTAGGAGTTGACAGTATTTATTTTTATGGTTTGTGTTTTCTGTGTCTTTTAAAAGAAATCCTTACCCACTCCAAGACACAGAGACAGTGTCCTATGTGATCTTTTAAAATATTTATAAGCCTTTCACTTTTAAGTGTATAATCTATCTGGAACTGAATTTTTGGATATAGTGTGATGTAGGGGTTCAATTAACTTATTTTTTTATTCCAGGTGGCTGTAGTTTGCAAAATCTACCTTGTTCCTCCATGTGAGTTCTGTCACAAGTCAGAACAGCTGGAATTGGCTTATAACCCTGCTCCTTGTCCCATGACCCCTGTCTCCAGCCCCATGGCTGGAACTGACATACTTACCATATTTGTTTCTGATATCTGTTCAATGCTGGAGACATAGACAGATATTCTCACAGGCACAGGGGCACCTACGACACAGGAGAGGGTTTGACATGAAGGGTAGAATAAAGGAGAAGAGCACAGACTCAGGAGCCAGACTGCCTGGCTTCGAACCTGCTTCTACACTTGTTAGCCGGGTGACCTTGAGTAAGTCACCTAACCTCTCTGAGCCTTAGTTTCCTCATGGGTAAAATGGGGATAATGATAGCACTGATCTCATAGTTAATACAGGTCAAGCACTTAGAGCAAGGTGGACCCATGATATGCTGAAAGGAAGGGATGAGGGCAAAACAAAGGAAATAAAGGGGTGAAACACTCTTTTTCTAAATATTTCCTGATAAAAACTGAAAGGAATGAGCCCCCAAACAAGATTCACAGTTGTGTGTGGGTGCATGTTTGTGTTAGTGCATGTGTGTCTGTGTGTGATTGTGTGAGCTGTGTGTATGAATGTATGTGAGCAGGTCCATGTGTGAGTGAATTTGTGTGTTTTCATGTGCAGGTGAACATGTCAGTGTGTGTGAAACATGTCTGTGCATAAGTGAACATGTGAGCATGTCCATGTGTGAATGTTTGTGTTTTGTGGGACTGAATGTGTGAGCATGTCCATGAGTACGAGTGAGTTCATGTGGAAGTGGGAATGAATGTGGGAATGTATGAGTGTGTTTGCGGGTCAGTGAAGGTATGTGCATGTTGGGTATGTGAATGTGTGAACATGTCTGTTTATGTCAGCAAATGTATGAGTGTTTGCATGTATTTGAATGTATGAGTGTGGGAGTGAATATGTATGAGTGTCTGTGTGAGCCTGTTGATGTGTTATTGTGTTTGTGAGCATGTTTATATGTGAGTGAATGCATGAGCATGTGCACATGTGTGAACTAGTTATGTTGACATGAGTATATGTTAGCATGTTTGTGCATTGTCTGATGTGTCCATGTGTATGAGTATGTTCATGTGTAAGTGTGACTATATTAGCATGCTCTAGTATGTGAGAAGGCCCATGTGTGTGTGAATGCGAAAGCATGTTAATGTGCATGTACACATCAGTATATGTGTGCACATGTTCAGCATGTCAGTGAATCTGTGTATATGTGAGCATGCTCATATGTTTGTGAAGGTGTGATCATGTTTATGTGTGTATGAGTGAACATGTGTGTGTGAGGATGTTAATGTGTGTCTTCATGTCTTTGAATTTGTGAGTGTTTTGGATATGTGGGCACGTTTGTGTGTGAGTGAATGTGTGAGCATGTTTGTATGTATATGTGTTAATGTGTGCGATCATGTGTGAGTGAATTTGAGTGTGGTGCTTTATGTGAGCACATTTGTGAGTGAATGTGTGAGCATGTTTGTGTGTGTTAGTGTGCTAAAGCGTGTGAGTAAATCTGTGAATGCATTTGGGTATGTGAGCCAGTTCATGTGTGAGTAAATATGTGAGTATGTTCGTGTGTGTATGTGGCTGTGTGACTATATGTGGTGGGTATGTTAATGTGTGTGACTTAATTTTATGAGTGTGTTTGTGTACATTAACATGTTAGTGTGTGAGTGTGTTAACGTGTGTGAGTGAATTCATGAGTGTGAGTGAATGTGTGTGCATGGGTGTGTGTACATATTTGTGCACATGAGTGTTGCGTGTGTTAGCATGTGAGTGAATTTATGTGTATTTGTGTATCGTGTGCATGTTCTGTATGTGCCGGCGTGCCAGTGTGTGAGCAGAAGTGAATGTGTGATCATGCTCGTGTGAGTGTGTCTGTGTGTGTGAGTGAATTTCTGAGTGTGCTCCTGTGAGTGAGTGCATGTGTGAGGGTGATTGTGTGTTAATGTGCAAGTGCAACCGAATGTGCGAGTGTATGTATTAATGTGTTTCTGCTTCCTAGCTTCTTTTTGAGGCCCGGGTGTTAGCGCTGCTCACTGGCAGACTCGAATGTGACCATGGATATGAAAATACGTAGTAAACTGTAAGACACTGTGGACAAATACATTTTTATTGTTCCCTCATCACCTCCAACCCGTCTACACCCAGCCCCATGGCAAAGCCATCATTCTCTGTATATTACATCATACTGCTGCTAGGGAAACACACATGACGCTTGCAATTCAACCTGCTGATTTCACTGCAGGCTGATTGCCCAGAAGCTGAGCTGCAAAGAGGGAAATGTTATTCCAAGCCTAACGCTTCACCAAGCAAAACACTATTGGGAATAAGCGTCCGAGTGGTAGCTGAGAAGTAAATGGGCCTCCGTATTAGGGGACAGCCCAGACTCCAGCATTCAGGGCTGTTGTGAACAAGTCCCAGGAAAGTGCTATGTGATGACTGCCTTTCAGGACCCCCACGTGTCTTTAGAGGACGGAAGCTGTGTCAGGCAGGCAACAAGTCCCAGAGGGCCAGGCAGCCAGTCCCCCACCTCCAGTGTTGGACTTCTTGTCTAGACCATTCCACACCACTCAGGCAACCCCACCCCTCATGGTGGAATGCTGGGGACCCTAAAGGGCCAGGCCAGAAGACTATCAAAGGGCTCCCGGCTGAAGGGGAAAGTGGGAGCTGAAATGCATTTCACATTCCCGTCACCAAGCCATGAACCCTGCACAGGGATGCAGGAAGGGGGGACCTTCTAATTTATCCACCTAAAGGGGACACCTTAGGTGCTAGCAGTGGCCAGGCTGAGAACTTAGGTAAGGTAACCCACATCTCTAAAAGGATAATGGAGGGGAATGAGAAACTTCCTGATAAAGAGTCTAAATGTCATCTCTAGGGTGATGGCCTCAGCCCTGTATCTCATCACTGTCCCCCCATGGACTTAGGAAGACAGGAAAAGTGGTGGTGGTAATCATGTCCCTCCTTCCTGGAACCTTTGCTGCCCCAACTCCTCTTCCTCCCTAACATCCATTATAGTGCCAGAGAAAGAGCAGATGAATGAAGGCATGGTGAAAATGTCTCACTCGCTCCTTCACTCCAAAACATCAGGGAACCTATGTCATGCCAGGTGCTGGGCTAGGTGAAGCCCAGTTTGCAACACTGCAGAGTTCCAGTTCTCTTGGCCAGAAGGAGGTGGCTTTGTTAACTTTCCCCCTATTCTCATTGCCCTCCACTCTCAGGAAGTAGTAAGGCTCCTGTTTGAACTGGACCATAGTTAAAGTGAGGCCCCTGTATGTGGGGTGTGTGCTGGGGAGGAGGTTAAGCCCTGAAATTCTACTTCACCTCAGACACAGGGGGGCCGTACAGGGAGTTCTGGGGTTTCCAAACCCTGAATGCCTTGGCCCAACTGTCTCATCAACTGGTCTCCCCACCTCCACCTCCACATAACAGCACCAGACATAGAGCTTGTAGTGCCCCCTTCTGTCTAAATGCTAGAAGGTCCTGAGTTGCCCATTCCCTCCCACCTTCCCCTGCTGTTTGGTGAAATCAAGTCAAGGATCCATCTTTTCTTACATACTCCAGGTCTGCATACCCACAAATCTTAGTGTAACCCTCCCCAGAGATTGATTCCTGACCCTGCCCCCTGCCCTAGCCCTGGATGCCTGCAGAGATGGCAACCTGGCCCTGAAACAGTGGGGAGAATGTGCTTGGTGTACTCACGTGGTTGGCGTTGGTCAGCCTAGGCTGAGAAACGTGAGAGTGAGGCAAGGAGAAAATGAAGTAGCTACTCCCCTGTCACCCACTGGTGTTTGGTGCAATGGATCCAGAAGTTGATGCCATGCAAGGGTGTGCTGGCTGCGCTCTAACACCTGGATTCCCATACCCAGATCTCTCTCCCTTGGGGAACCCACCCAGAAGAGGTGCTGCTGCCCTTGCAGCAGGAGAGCCAGCCTTCTGTCCCCTCCTCCCCAGCTTCCCTGAGCACATTCACCTTGAATCCCAGGCAGTGCCTCTGCCCTCACTCTCCAGAGGGAGGGGCCACCGCCGAGGTTTTCCCAGAGGCCGCCCAGGCCAAATCCTCCCAGCTGTGCACTCTTTCCTGGGAGGTGAGGGTATTCAGAAGACATTTATTCATATGCACGAATGTGAACGTTAGCATTCATTAACCCTTTAGAGTGGGTATCTATCTAGTTCAGCCTCTGGCAGGAAGTTGGGTTCTTACTTCGGCTTAGCCTCTCTGTTCATTCTTTGAGTCAGAATGCAAGTAACCCATATTTAATGCACCCTTTCTTTTGTCTGTCCTTGGTCTAAGTTTTCTCAGTGTCCCCAGGGCCAGAGAATGCTGCTCCTGTGGTGTGGGGTCTGAGTAGGTTGCTTATCGCTTAAAGCTGTGTCGTCCAGGCCAGTTGCCCTTTCTAAAGGGGAGGTTAAGCAGAAACCTAGGGAGAACCTGACATTTGTATAGACTGCCTGGAGGTTTGGGTGTCAGTTTCCTTGTCATTTCTAATCTCTGTGCTAGAGATCTGAGTGCTAAACAGAGGAGTGTGGATTTTATTTGGCAGTTAGATAAAACCATCAAAAGTTCCTGAGGTGCTCAGGCTGGATTTATAAAGATCACACTGATTGCAATGTGTTGAATGGACCGGGGGAGGGGGAGCCAAGGTAAAAGTGTCCGGGGCCGGGTGAGTTAAGTGCACTAGACAGAGAAGACCATGCCCTCAGTTTCGAACTGGGCAAATGGGGCGAGTGCCCAGGATCCGAAGAACAATGTACTCAAGTAGAAGAATGTGTCCTCCCCAGAGATGGAGCAGAAACTCTAGCCTGAGAGGCACAGCGTGCTGTGTCCTACACACCCACTTCTGTGCTTAGTGCTTCTCCAGCCACACCTTTGGAAAGGAGTGCGGAGGTGGCAGAAGGTCTCAGGCATATGAAGGCAAAGAAGTAGGAGAAATTCCAGGGGCACAGAATGCCTGGAGCTTGTGAGCCTGGGAGTGCTTGCTCCCTGGCAGGTCTCTGCAGGGTCAGGAAGGAGGGATGTGGAGGCAGAGGTGTAGAGCTGGGGAGTGCCACTGGTGGCTTTACAGGGTAGGGCTGGCTTGCTGTGTCTCAGCTCTATTTCACCTAACACAAAGACCTCTAGTGTCTGGACATGGCTTACCTCCAAAATTTGGTCTCAGACGAACATCATATCTTGACAGCACCCTGTCCAGAATCTTTTGAACCACAGCTTCACTTGCACAATTTTTGCTGAAACATAGAAGTCATCAGTAAATGCTGGTCGACTTGTGGCTGACTTGCCAGTGGCCACCTTGCCAGGGCCTTCCTTTCTCCAGCACATACGCAGGCATGTCCAGTCATACGTGCACCACACTCTCCCCACTCCCCTCCCTCCCTAGGGTGAGTCAGCCAGAAGCTCAGCACTGACGCAGACTCCTTTTCCCCCTCCCCCTCCCAGCTTTTATCCAGAGGGTGGGGCAAAAAGGCTGGTTCTCGGTTACCAGGCAGGACTGAGTGGGGGAGGGAAGGAAGGGAGGCAATAGGAGAAGAGGAGACAGGAGAGAGTGGGCAGGTGGGAGCCCTCAAAAATGCATTACTTCAACCCCCTAAGGAGCTTCACCTTGCAATTAGCTTGGACGCTGCTTTCCAGGTTGGTTTGGTAGGGGGGGGTCCTCCTTCTAGGGGCACTTGATTGCCCCAGGAAAGATCAACATCCACTCTCAATGTCCTCCTGAGCTAGGCCAATGTTCTTTGGCTCATTTCCCCCACCTGGGCTAGGGCTGGACATTTTATCACATTTATGTCAACCTTGTTTTTGTACACCTCTGTTTTTAAGACTTGGCATATGGCATATGACGCAGAGAGAGAGCCTTGCTCATGTATCAGAGATTTATGACCCTCATCCAACCAAACAATTTCAGATTCTTGGGGCTCAGAGCTGTCTTCGAAAAGACATCCATTCCAGGAGCAGGCATCTTTCTTGCTAAGCATGTGCTTCTAGCCTGGAAGTATCTTAGGCGAGCACATGTAAGTGGACCCAGCTCAGCTCTGCAGAGAGCTGGCCTTTCCACAGGTCTCTAATATGTTCACCCAATTCACCCAGCCCTTCAACAGGGATCCTTCCCCCAAGAGGGCTTGTGAATGAGAACAGGCGCTGGCATCACTGTGACTCCTCGAATCTTTGACACATTACCCAGGGAACATCAGCCCCTGCAAATCTGTGTGTGTGTGTGTGTGTGTGCGCGTGTGTGTGCGTGTGTGTGCGTGTGTGCGCGCGAGCGCGCGCGCGCGCGCATGCGCCTGTGCTTGCATGTGTGTTCACTGACGCAGTTTGATATGTTGGGTTGAGGGCACTGCAGGGCTGTCTGCTGGAATCTTGCTGAACTACTCCCCCACCCTTTTTTTCTGAATACATGATCATTTCTAGTTTGCCATTTAAAAATTATTAAAAATTATTGCCAATTATCTTTACTCAAAAATTTCATTTTGTAACATTCCAAACTGTGCACATGAATTATTTCCGAATTAAAGCAATGCATTCCCGCCTGTTTCCGACAACACATTACCCATGTGCCAATACTCAGGACTCCTGGCTACCACAAATAAACATTTCTGTGTATCTATATGTAAAGGCTGACTGTTTAACATCTTTTCAGGTACTCGCAGACCCAAACTTGAAATCAAACACAGAAAAAACCCTGAATCTTCAAATATTTTCACAGGAGTAAGTACAAAAGCGCACCCATCTAAGGCCACATGGTTTATGGTTATACGGCCACCAATCACACTCTCTGGGCTCGGATGAGGTTGAGTTAGTAATTTCTATCTGACGCACTGGAAAGAGTCCCTCAGTCCTCAAAACATACATGTACACACACTGTCTCTCGCGCGCGCCCACGCGTGCCCAGGGAATGGACTAAAATCCAGACTCAAACAGGTGTCTCTCCTGTCTATGTTTTGTGAATCGCTCATCACCTTGAACCCCCCGCCCCCATTCCACAGGTACCAAAGGACGTGACTGGGGAAAGCTGCCCGGAGGCTTAGTCCTCCGGGATGGATGGGCAGATCTGGGGTGAGGATACCCACCCGCGTTGCGGTTTGGGCACACGCAGGGCGCAGCCAGGCGCCGCAGTAACAGGTGGGCTGAAACATAGGGCTCCATCTCAACTAGCCGCCCCTACTGTCCCTTCCCCCTCCCAGGGGTTGGCAGGGCCCTCACGCGTGAGCTCAGTGAGCCCGGGTCTGAGTAGCGACCCCCAGCCCGCTCCATCCAAGAGGCCAGAGGCCGTCTGCCCGCCCCGGTCCCCGCCGTGCCTAGCCTGGCGGTGCCCGCTTACCAGTTGAAAAGGTCCAGAACGACGTCGGGCACAGCGGAGGAGAACTCGAAGTGGAATTTCGGGGTGGGACTCGGGTAGTTGCCCTCCGCGAGCCAGGTCCTGATGAGCAGCAGGAGCACTGCGGCTCGCAGCATGCCTCGGATGCCCATGGCTGCGGAGCTCTGGGGCCGGAGGGCACCGGAGCCGCGGCCGTGGAAAGGGACGGGGTGGGGGTGGGGAGTGGGTCAGTGCGGGGCGAGAGGGCGCGGGATCGCTAGCCCTTCGACAAAGGATCTCCTCTAAGGGGAGAGCAGCGAGGGCACAGGGAGCAGGGAGCGCGGAGGTAGGTCGGGATCCCGCAGCCCAGAGCCCTAGAGGAGCAGCTGCCCCAGGGCGCGCCCGGCCGCAGCGAGGTGCGCTCCGTCTGCGGCCGCTCCAGGCTGCGACTGGGCTTGGAGCAGGGCTGGGAGCTGGCTCCGCCCACTCCGACGGCAGCACCCGCCCAGCCAATCGGGCAGGTGCCAACAGCCGCACAAAAAGGCGCGCGCTCCTGCCTCCGCCCGGAGCCTGCGCGCAGCCAGGGCCCCCGCCCCTTCAGGCCTCTGCAGTCCTCCCCTGGCCAGCTCCAGACACAGACAGGGGCGGGGCGGGACGGGGCTGGGCCGGGGGAGGGGGAGGAGGGCTGGCTCCTGGAGGGCTGGGCAGGGGTCCGAGGCCAGCGGCACTCGGTCCTGTGCCTCTTCTTGGCAAAATGCAAAATGTGCGTTTCTCTTGGAAGAACCTGTGTCCAAGAGTTTGTATTTTGTGGTGAAGGGAGGGTGGTGATGTGACTGCCATGGCTGAATCTGCATTCTGAAAGACCTGAACACTTAGGGGGATCAGAGGGTACCCGACTGGTGGTCATTCCCAGACCCTCCGGCCTCCAGTAACCCCGCGTGCCTTACCTCTGGGTGGGGTAGAGGGGGGTCGCCAATGTGCTTTGCAACAGGGCTCCGGTCACAGCAGGCTTGCTTCTCCATTAGGATAGAAATTGGGTTCCAGGAACTCAAGAGTTGCTTGAAGACTTAAATTCCCCAGAATGCTCTTTGCACCAAGTTTGGGTTTTCAGGGAAAACTCAGGGTTCACCAGCTGGGGTCTCCCTGAGGTGTGACTGTGTCCCATTAGCCAGGGATGCAGAGTTGAAGTGAGGGTCCAGGCCTGACACCATGGAAGGGGAAAAGAAGACAAAGGTCACTGTTCGGGATGTTCAAGGGACTTAGCTCCTGGAGACCAGGCCACACCAGTGCTCCTGGGTGCTGGCCCCATCATGTGGAAAAGCCTGACATTTTGACTAGAGGCTCTTATTCTTCCCACTACACAGAACACTGCCCCTGTGGACCAGAAGGGATCTTACGGGATAAGAAATACCTCCACCCAAACCCCTCTATCCTTCCTATCCCATGACAAAGCAAGTTCAGAAGGAGGCCTCACCAAAGCCCATGGGCCAGACAAGGAATCAACAAATAAAGCTCAGTCATGTTCACCAGCACCGCACCTCCCAAATCATACCATTGAGAAAAGTTGCAATCAAAACGGATTTCAAGTTCACTCTTGGTCAACTAGAACATTCACACAGAAACACCCCCTTCCACTTTCCCTCCACATCTGGTGAAACGAGTTGGGATTGCTTGTGCCCAGTGAAGCCTCATTTGCCAGTGTTGCATGGCTGAGGGTTTGACTCTTTCCCCTCCCCCTTTTAAAACGATTTTAGAATCAAACTTATAAATGTGTCTCATAGTTCCCGGCCTTCTTTTAAGTAGCAGAGCACCCTTACACCTTTCTTTTCCTTCTCTCCTCTTTCCCTTGTTATTGCAGCAAGTAAAAAAGGATGGTGGGGCCCATATGTCACTGACTATCACATACAAGAGCAGATCTATCAAGCCAACCCCTACTGCAATTAGTCCTGACCCCATCATCTCTGGTCACCCAGATGTCCTTGTAGAGACAATCCTTGCTTGCCTAAAATAATAGGGCCATTCCAGGTCATTTTGTCCAACCACCTGGATTGTAATATAGGGAAACTGAGGCCCAGAGAAGGAAAAATATTGGCCCTAGATCGCATAGTAGCAGTTGCCAAAACCAGAAACCCGATATCCGGGTTTGCCTATTTCCAAAACAGTGTATTTTCAGTGTTAAGTCAGCTTTGACTGTAAGTTCAGGCAACCACCAGCAGGTGGGAGTAGATTTGTTTGGATGCAGGACGTTCCCAGCACTGAGAAATCAAATTCTGCAGGCAATTGTTCTGTTCCCTCATTTGTCAGGGAAAATAAGACTGAAGCCTGAAGTTTTGTTTCTAGGTACCCTTATGACTGTGAATATTGCCAAATAGTTGATGGCGATGATGAATTCACTTTCAGAACTTACATCCCAGAGGGCCCTCCCCTACTTCTGCTCTCCTTAGAGGTAATGCTTCATTGAAATTTCTGACTCACAAAACAAAAATAGCCCAAAATGCAATAAGAAATACAAAAATGCCACCATAATTTGTACTTGTTGAGCTTTTATCTAGCTAATTTATTAGAATATCTGTAAATATCCAGATTGAATGAGTTTAAACCTGAATATGGGATCAGGGCCTGGAAATTGGCCCATCTGCATTCTGACCCAGCTCTGCCCCTTAAGTTTGGAGGTAAAACAAGAGGTGAAGGAGGTAAGAGGTGAGAGATTAGGCAGAACCTGACCTAGTGAGCGTCACGCACTCAGGGCACAATAAATACTTGTCGAAGGAATAAATGAGGCAAGAAAGAGAACTTGGGGCCTAATTGTCCAAACTGAGGAATTTGACTTTTATTTTAGAGTCAACAGTGAGCTTTTGAAGGATTTGTGCAAGGGAATGACACAATCAGAGTGGCACCTTGGAAGGATCTTTTGATGACTTTGTGAAGGAGAAGCTGGAAGGAAGAGGGATGGGGGTCGGGAGAGCAGTTAGGAGGGGGTTGCACATCTCTGCTCTGGCAACGGCTGGCTAGGTAGTTTGGACCAACTGCTCTACTGAGGGCAACTAAATAAACTGGCTGAAACATAGAGAGAAATCATCATCATAATGAACTAAGGTTAAAATCTAGAAGAAGATAAGAGTCTACAGAGGGAAGCCCAGCACTAGAAACCACTTTTCCCTGAGGGCATTTGCTGAATCTGGAAGAAACAGTTGTGAAATTGAGATGTGGTTTTGGTAGCATCGTGGGCAAAGAGGACAAAAGTAAAAGCTCAAGGCCTTAACGTCACTTTCAGCTGATACCCTAAGTGGCTACCACCTAGGGATAATAGCGATCCAGAAGCAAGCAGCCCTAGCCCTGTAGCTTACATACACATCACCTGGGTGGTTCAGGGAACCTGGAGCCCTGACCTTGGATTAAAGTGGCCTTGGACAGGTAGTGTCACCAGGCATTTGAAAATACCTCAGCAAATGAAAAGACTCTCTGCAGGGAAGTATTATCATCTTGGGCCTAGAATCATTTGTACAAATAATTTTTCAATAATATGTCAGCACATAGTCAAACATAACTCAGCATAAAAGAAAAAAAAATACACTATGACAGCCAGTAGAAAAGAATAGGCAACAAAAACAAACTCACAAAGACTCCAGATATTAGAATTATATGACACAGACTACAATAACTGTTGTTTACTATATTCCAAAAAATAAAAAAATAAACTTGAAAATATCTGCATGGAACAGAAAATCATAAAGATTGATACAGGCGATTTGAAAAGAATAGAGGAAAATGTTTCCAACTAAAAACTATGACAATGAAACTTGAGAACTTAATGGATGGGTTTAACAGAGGGTTAAACACAACTAAGAAGAGAATTGCTGAATTAGAAGATAGGTTACAAGAAATTGCCCAAAGTTCTGCCTGGAGATACAAATTATATGGAAAAATTTAAAATGGAGAATATCAGACACAATGAATAGAGCGAGAAGGTCTATCATGTATTTAATTGAAGTCCCAGAGGGAGAGGAAAGTGGGAAGAAGATGATGGCTGGAAATGTGAATTCACAGATTTAAAAGGCCCAATGAATCATAGGCAGAATAAATAAAAAGAAATCTACTCTTAGACACATCACAGCGAAAGTGCATAATGCCAGAGACAAAGAAGGTTATGCTAATGGTCCAATTAGAAATAATGAGATCCTGACCTAGGGCAGAAACAGGAGAGAGCGAGAGTAGGGGATGGGAGTTAGACCCTGGCTTCAGAATGCTTTTTACTCAATTTTTCCATGAAAGATTATTTTATAAAGATATTATCCATTTTATTACTAATTGATAAAATATAATTGTTAAAAAATACACTTGTTTGAATAACCTGACACCTATGAGCCCAGTTGTCATGTTTGGAAGGCCATTGTTCTGTAAGTATGTGTCCCTCATCTCATGGGCCACAGAAGAGGTGTAGAAAACTTTCCTTCTGCTTACCCCCCTTTCCCAGCTTTCACCATTCCTAAGGAAAAGTATATAAAATGAATAATTCTGTGGTCCTCAGGTGTCAGGCTTGGCCACATGTATTTACTCACTGGGCTATCCAATGCTGGAATGGAGAAAAATTCCTGCAGGGGTTTTTATTTGTAATAAACAGAGTAAAACTGCAATAGGCTGTCTTTTGAGAGAGTGAGGCTTCTTACTTGTTCCTAGAGCTGTTTATACAAAGACTGAATGAATGGCCACCTGTCAGAGATGGAATAGAGGGAATTCTGCTCCATATGGGAAACTGCATCAGAGTTTCTGTGTTTGGTTCAAAATCCCTCATGCATTTATTCTATTTAAGGGACAGACATTTTTATGTACCCTTAAAGACTCCTCCATTACCACCAAAACCCTTTCTCCAAGAGAGGACAGTGGGAGCTTAGAAAAACCTTCTCTATCACCTGACCTCAGGTCAATCAAAATGCTGTCTGACAGTGAAGACATAAACCTACCTTCATTTGTAGCATGCGGTATGTCACCAACAATTTTGACCAAGTGTCACAAAGGGAGGAGGTGCTGGATTTTTGATTCTGATTTTCCATACTTTCTCTTCACTTTTGCTAGGCATTCGCAATTTATGTAGTCACAGCTCCCACCCTGCCCAATCCTACAGAAACCTGCCCTGTAATAGCTATAGCATCTTCTAACAGTATCTCCCTCCCTTACTATGGAAGG